GAGAGACGGACGGGCCCAGCCCGAGGAGGAGCAGTCCACGCTGGCTGACTCGCGTCCCTGAGACGGGGCGGCGTCTGCTACGCAGCAAGGGCCGCCCGTAGGCCAGCACAGTGGTGACACGCGAGCAGGTGTTTTATAGCACCCCTGCTGGAGTGACAAGGAAGAAGCAGGCAAGGAGACCTCCGCGCGGAGGACAGACAGCTCGCCAGGAAAACATGGCCGGCCGATAAACAAACCAGTAAGAAAGTTCCTCCCCACAGGAGTCAAAACTTCTGAAGTGAACTCACAAAGCGCTGTTTCACTCCCCAAACCAGCGGCAATACTGACACACGTGGATGGCAATGTGGCGTGCTGGCAGGGACCGGGGAGGCAATCTCCCAGCTCCGGCTGGTGGCTGTGACGACTGGTGCAGAGCTTCGGAAATTAATTTAGCAGCACGTGGCCAGATTGGTGACAGGCCCACCCTCAGCGCCAGCAGCTCCGCCGCGTGGCGTCCACCTGCGAACGCTCTGGCTGCTGGGCCCGTGGAGGCTCGGGCACGGCGGTTCCCTGCAGCCCTGCTCAGCACAGCAAACACCCCACAGCCGGGGAAGGGAGAGCGAAAAGAAGACGCAGCCGTGTGGTGGGACAGCACCCGACACCTACGAGGGAGCAGCACGCTGCTGAGCGTGACACGGGACAACCACAATCAGGTAAAACTGAAAAAGCCTGCAGACCAGTGATGCTTCATCAGCCGATGCCTGTTACTCACCGTCCAAGTTGCTTTGGAAGGACGTGCTGCAAGTTTATAAAAGCAGTTGCCTCTGAGAAGGGAGGGGAACAGACAGAAGGCAGAGGGTAAAGAGAACCGAAGCTGCGTTTGTGGTTTTTTCATTTGTTTGTTTCCTTCCTGCCCCCCAAGCTGGAGCCCAGCAGACGCCCTCACCGCGGCCCACGCTGAGCAGAAGGCGGCGGGGAGGCAGGCTTGTTAGGCAGCCTGTGTTCTCCTACATGAAACTTCTTTCTTCCCTCTGGCCCCAGATGGTGGGCCTGCACCTCCGGCCACCTCAACTCTTAAACTACCTGGGCGCCCAGGTCCTGGGCCGCCTTGGAGTCGGCGTGTCAGACGACCTTGAGAGGTAACAGTTCCAGTATCCTCCCCTCTCCCCACCTCACAAATACACAGAAAATCAGGGGGAGACAGAAAGAGAGAGAAACAGAGTTATTTTGGGGCCAAATTTAGGAATTCTAAAGGAAAAAATATCTGTATGCAATACATATTTTTAGCGCTAAATGGTGCTAAAAGCACTTTTTGGCACCGGTTAGAGAGTGAAAGTTGCCTGGTTAGTTTGGGAACAGAAAGCCGAACGGTGTACCCCGTGACCTCCGGCTCCCCAGGGCCCTCCACACAGCGCCGCGGCTGCCTCCCCCTCTCACAGTCAGATCGCCGCCCCCTCCAGGAGAGGGACCCCACTCACCCACCTGCTGCCCAAGCCACAGGCCTCACGCCCCTTGCTTTGTTTATTTTCACAAAACTGTGCAGGCACCGCTGAACCCATTTCACAGAGGGAAAAACCAAAGCCTAGAGTGGGAACACGAGGTGAGAGGGAGTGGATCCTGACTGGACCCCCCCTCTATCTGATCTCAAAGCTGGGGGTAGGGGGCACAGGATGGGGTGGGCCTGAGGGACGAAGGGCAGAGGTGAAGGGTGCACAGCTCTTGGGGAAACTGCAGCTGACTGCATGTGCCCTGAAGGGGCCGCACCCCCCATCCCAGGGCAGGCAGGGCTGCCGCAGCTGGCTGCACGGGGCGGGGACAGGCCTCAGAGATGGGAGAGGCTGGGGCGGGGGGCCAGGGGGGAGGCCAGACGGATGAGGAGACAGGAGAGGACGGATTCATGGGAGCACAGAGACTGGCCGGAGCAGGGAATGGGCGAGGAGGGCCGAGGAGGGGCCCAGGTCGTGCAGGCGCAGGTGGGTCCCTGGAGGTGGACAGACGTGGGGCCCAGAGAGGGAGGGCTGGGCAGAGGGCCTCCGTCAGCCGGGGTGGGGTCTGGCTCTCCTGTCAGGGGGCCATCCCGGGTGGGGTGCAGGCGCCGTGGCCGGACTATCCTTGCCGGGTCTGCTGAGCCAGGGGGCAGGATCGGAGAGGGGAGGACACCCCTTCCTTCCGGGCGCTCTGTTCTGTGCTCCCGAAGTCGTCCCATGTTGGCTTCCAGCAGCAAGAGGGGCTGGGAAACGTCCAGCGTGTTCCAGCTGCTCTTTGTCCAGTTCCCATCAGTGGCTCGGATCCTGAGGAGGATGCTGAGTGACGTCGGGGACAACTGGTCTCCACCAGCGGCACCTGTGGGCGGCCTGTGACTTGGGGCGGCTAATGTCACTAAGCCTCCGTTTCCACCCCTGCTTCATGGATGCGAGGCTCTGCTCCCAGGGCACTCGGATGACCCTGTGTGCGTGCCAGGTGGAGGCTGAGGCCTGCTGGGGGGGGACCAGCCCCTCGGGGGGGAGAGGGAGGGGCCGCAGACGAGCAGTGGCCAGCAAGGCAGGGACAGTGAACTAACAGGGATGGTGTCCCACCGTGGAGGTTGGAGAGGGTGGCTGAGCAGAGCACTGGGACCCGGGCAGATGAGCTTCAGAGGAGAGCGGAGGGAGCCAGAGCTGCAGGGAGAGAGCGGCTGGAGAGGGAGGGCTGAGGGGACACCAGGGACATGGGGACGTGTGGGCAGGGCTGCCAGGTCCTCCGACAGGGAAGACACATCTAGGGGCCCTGGGTGGGCCGTTGTGAGCAGACCCCTTGGCCACACACCCTGACCGCGGGCCAGTCTCCCGGAGGTGGGAGGCCTGGGTGTCCAGCCAGAGGAGGGAGGCCAGCAGGACAGACCTGTTCCCCAAATCACACAAAGGGAAGGAAAGTCACCAGGCCTGGGTCACTTCAGGCAGGACGCGGGTGACTCCGGCAGTAACCACGCTCACTTAAGAAATTAGACAGAGCTTTATTAAATAAACCAAATAGAGATGTGCCTGTTTACATCTGAGTTGTCAATTTGAGCTCAAGTGTTACGCAAGGCACAATTCCTCCCGTCTCCAGCTTAAAAAGAATAAATCGCGTGGCCTGGCCCCCAGGACTGAGGTGGATTCACGCGTGTGGCTCAGGGCTGGGCTGGAGTTCCCATGGCGCGGTCTACAGGGTCCAGGCTCCGGACTGTCCGGGGGGCCCCGGCCTCAGGCAGAGGCTGCGTCCTGAGGTCTCGGCTGCTGCGTGGACGAGGGGCTGGGAGGAGGGAGTTTCGGAGTAGCGCCTCCTTCCGGCTGGCTCGGCTCCCCCTTCCCTGGCCCCCGGGAGCTGCCTGGAGGGAGGCCGTCCTGTGGGCGGCCCTGGCTCAGATCTGCTGAGGTGCTTCGGACAGAAGGAGGGACAGATAACACAGGTCTCTGTGCTCTGGCAGAACAAGGAGGCGTCTCAGAATGAGCAAACGCAAGAAGGGCCCCATCTCCAGCCCAAGGACACTTGCCAAGCAGGGACTCCGAAGTCCCCGTGCTGATAGCGGAGCCCGGACAGGAGGATGAGCCAGACCCACGGGCTGTCCCCCGGGTCAAGGCCAAGTCCGGGAGGGGCTTCCCAGCTCAGGGAACAAAGAACCACAGAGGACCGCCATCCATTCACAGGGGCCGAGGAGGGCACAAGGCCCACGTCAGGTGCCCCCGCGAAGCTGAGCCGGGGCGGCCCCGGCACTACGTCCCTGGCTCTCCTTGCGCAGTGGCAGCGCCGGGCTGG